TCACTCGTGGACCAGATGTGGCCCGAGGGCTGCCAGTTGAATAGCCCTGGCCTAGAGGAACTCTTGCGTCAGGTATTTGCCAGGTCCATGGTCTCGTAGGCTCTGTAGCATGAGAGTCCGTGAACAGGCCTTTAGCTAGAAAAAGTGTCTTCAATTTTCCAATGCCTTCTTTCAGATGGTGAATTTGTTGCCTTGTGGCCTTCTTTACGTTTCTCTAAATTTGTGAGTTTTTTTTACTCTCAAAAACAAAAGCAACAGGTAAATAGTAATGTATGTCTTAATTTTGATTTATAATAATTTAAAAAAGAAAGTAGTCTTAAAAAAATCATCATTTATTTATTATCCACAAATTGTTTTCTTTTTCTACAGTCTTTGTCTCATTATAACAATTCAGCCTCTCTTCTTAACAAAAAAGCCTATTAACTAAATCTATCATCAGCCTCTGCAGTTCGTAATTAGTATCAGTTGCACTAAAAGGAAAGCCTTTACCATGAAAATCAAGGAATTTCTGGCACTGAGCGAACAGACGACGATCGAGGTTTCAGAAACCTGATCTATCACCTGAGCGCATGGTGCATAACAGAGTACTTCTCAGATTAAATGTTTCACCTCATTTTATGCAACACAACCTGCTAAAAAAACACTCCCAATGAAGCAAACACTTTTACAGCAAATACTTCAGGGATTTAAGTGTTTTAGAAGCTTTTTAGTAGTATTTTCTTTAAACAAAACCTGCTGTACCGACACCTGAAGTGCTAAATGTTAACACTGTGACAAATGAGGCTCAAGTTTAGCACCATTTTGGAGAAATGTAGAAATTGGTTTGTGAGATTTTTTTTTCACCTCATTGTGAGCCCTCATTTGAGTTTTCAAAAAAATGCAGGAACAATTTTTCTTTTTAACCGTATGATATTGAAGGTAAACAAACCATTATGAGCTGCTCAGATTTACAGTATATGGAAAATGTGAACTTAGCAAAGAAAATCCCATGACAAACACCCAAACATGATTTATAAACGCCTCACAGAAGAATGATTAATTGTCAAAAATAAAACAGAAATTCAACTAAAAATAGGATTTACTTCAATCCTGTTGTTACAAAGGGATGCATAAATTGAACAGATATGGTCTGAGAGGCTCAGCTTTGAAATGGGTATCGAATTTTTTAGAAAATGGGAAACAATTTCTGCAAATTAATGATGTACGATCAACTTTTGAGACAATTACTTGTGGGGTCCCACAGGGTTCTGTGTTAGGGCCTAAGTTGTTTCTTTTGTATGTTAATGACTTGGTTAATTTGTCTGATGTACAGTAATTAAATGTGTCATGTTTGCAGATGACACTACTTTTTTTTTGTTCAGGTAACAATTTAGAACAACTGTTAGCTTTGTTGCAATTAGATTTTGTAAAGACACACAATTGGTTTGAGCTTAATAAATTGTCACTTAATTTGGATAATTTGGTTAATTTGAAAAAAAAAAACATCACATTAAAACAAATAAAACATCAAGAAGTTTAATGGCTGAATTCAAATGTCAGTATTTCTTGAAGGAATGCAATATCACCATCTTGAATTTTCTTTTAAGATTTGACCAAAAATGCCACTTTTTTCAACAGATGTAAGTACATTCATCCCACCCAGCACTTAGAGATCCATTAGTGCTCCAAGTATTTGTCGGAGATGACTCTCAGCTACTACCCGACCTAATTTTAGCTTACTATTTGTAAAATTGACAAAGTTATAGCATTTTTTTCTTTTCAAAGTTAGACTAGCTGTTAACCCTAAACAGTAGTCAGTGGTATCCAGAGTGATTTCGGTGAGTTTCATTAAAACTCCATTAGTTTGTGAGATATTTTGCTAACACACATGGTTGACTCCAACTGTTAATGCCAAGTTTTTAAGCCACACAATATTACACAATGTGTAGCATGAAGATTATGAGTTGGTGACTCTCATCTACAACAAAAACAAACTTTAGATCAATAGCTGTAAAAATGACAAATATTTATTTTTCTGTTTTGTAAAGTCAGTTGGCTGTGATGGCCATCTTGAATCGGTTTGACTCCAAAAGTTAATGTGACCAATGATTACCGTCTGAGCTTCATAGAAATCGATCAAGTGGTTTATAAGATATTTTGCTAACAGACCCACACTTGCATGCACACATAGACAATTACATTATTGCACGCCTTATGTTAACCAGTTTTACAAATATACCAATACTGAGTCCAACAACAAATATAACATTGTTAGAAACAACATGACTCTGAAAAAAGAAAAAATATAAATAAATAAAAACAAATCGCTGTTCTTGTGCTGAGATCTTATTTCCAACATGAACAATTAATCAATGTCTGAGTGCAGCTCAAGTTCACTTTATAAATGATTTCACTGCCCTTTTTAAAGCAGGCGAAGCAAATGAGGAAAATGGACATAAATATTTCACATCTGGATAAGAGAAGTTAGAAAGAGAGAAAGAAAAAAATAAAGAATCCTTTTTCTCTCCCTCTCTCTCTCTTTCCTTTTCTTTGCATGAGGGACACGCACTCTGCTGGGGTCAGCCCGTAACCCAACCCAGAGTGAGTCCGATGGAGTAACACAAAAAGCACGAGGGAGGAAAAAAAAAAACACGCATACTTCACGGGCCCTGTCCCATTTCGTCCCATTATTATGGCAGAGGCTGGCAGGTCAGAGGGAGAAAGGCCTGACGGAGGAGCAGGAGGAGAAGATGAAATTACACCTGTTCTGGTGGCTGACTAACGACTTTGAAATGTGAGCGGCCCTCGCTCGCCGCCAAAATCATTTTCCCAACAATACGCCCTGATCTTTGAACAAGCAGAACTGGGACGCTGCGCTGAGCAAAGACACTCTCAAACCCTCTGCTGCTGTTTGTGAAGTTGTTGGGTTGCATTTTATTTTTTAACTCTTTTTTTTTTTTCGCCGTATCTTTAAAAAGGGACAGTTCAGATCTCTGGAAGTGGGATTCTGTGGAAAAATTAATTAAAAACTCTCCTGTCTGAGCACTTTAAAAGACCTCCCTGCAGCCATGATAAGAGCAAGTGGGTCAAGAAAATAGATGGATAAATATCTTTGTATACATATTGTATCTCTGAAAAGTGAGTACATCCCTCACTTTTGTTGCCAGAGGTTTACACATTAATGGCTGTGTGTTGAATTATTTTGAGGGGACAGTGTTACACTGTTAAACAAGCTGTGCACTGACTACATTTCATCAGTGTCATATCTTGAGTGTTGTCCCATGAAAATATATCATAGGATATGTACAAAAATATGAGTACTCACTTTTCTTAGATACTGTATATAGTTTCCTCTTTTTTAATTTAAACCTGGTTTATTTGTTCATGTTTTATAGATACTTGTCTGCTTTTTGATTAAAATTTGTGTCCTTTTTTTTTGGTTGTAATTTCATATTAGGTTGATGGTTTGTCAGTTGTGAGAAGGCAGCAACCAAAATGGATGGATGGATGGATGGATGGATGGATGGATGGATGGATGGATGGATGGATGGATGGATGGATGGATGGAAGGATGTTACACAAAACCCAGTAGTGGTGGGCAGCACTAATACAAAATTTAGCTCTGCAATTTCTAAAGCACTTATGAAAATATTTAGATCTGCAACTTCAAAAGTGCCTATGCCATAGAAAAACTAGTGGAAGCTAATTTTAAAGCGCAAGTTCAATTTGACATTTACTAGCTGGCAATAATTCATGCACAATATATGCACAACACTGCCAATTAGCGGTGTATGAACCCTTTTACAGCTTAATCCTACAACCACCGATTGCTGGGGATGTGACTTCCTGAAACAGACCTTTGGCTCCTGGTGTAAACATTAAAATGTTGTTGAGGATTGCTAGTTCGGCTACTTCTTTGTCGTTTTCTTTTGTTTGTTGATTTTTCATTAAAGAAGCATCAATAAAGTAATTTTAAAACTGTTTATTGGAAAACTGAAGCGATGCATTCTGGGTACATGACGGATTTGATTTGTGACGGGAGACGAAAGCACAGAGTACAGGAAACTACAGTATCTTCACTTCAAAATAAGAGCTTGGATTTTAAAGTTTTCCATGTAGTTTCTCCAGTTGACTAATAGATGTGTCTTCATCAGCATAACATCTTTAAATCATTTCTGAGTCTCTAACCCTGTTGGCCGATTGCTTTGACCAGTTACGTCAAGTTTTGAGCTCCAGCATTTAAACTTTTTTTTTAAAAGAAAGGAGCCCCAATTGTAAAGTAAAATAAATCAATACACACATTATTTTAGTATGGATTACAAACGTTAACTGTTTTTTGCTATTGCCTTCCTGCTATGTAAGCAGACACAAAGCATTGTGGGAAATGAGAACCATGACTGAAAGCAACAGTCAGCAAGGATGTATACCTTACCAATAAGTATGTTTATCTGAGAGGAGTGCTGTTGGACAGATCACGTGTTGTGATTCATTGACAGCCATACCTTCCGCTGTTCAAGATAATGATGACTGGTAGATAATTAGTTATTAGCGGTATTGCATTTTAACTTTTGAAAGTGCAAATCCGCTAATAATTTATAAAAATTAGCAAGACCGCTAAAGCGAAACGAAACTTTTAGGTCCGCAATTAGTGGATTTGTGCTTTAGTGGGCTGGTGCCCACCACTGACAAAACCCCACATCCAAAAATTCTGAACCATCACTTTAAATACGAAAAAAAGGTTTTCTGAAATAACGTTCTGCATCACTTCAACTGAAGACCCATTAACTTCGACTGCTGCCATATGGTTAAAGTACTGACCCTCATCTGCTGTGAATTAGAGTGCGCGCGCGCACGCACGCACACACACACACACACACACACACACACACACACACACACACACACACACAGATATCCATGTTCTACACTATACCTCTCACTTATGTGACCATTACGAGGTATACTTACTCACCCACCCAGCGACACACAGACCTTCATGCAGACAGTAGCCTTTAACTCACCATCTGTTCGCTGAGGTCCTGTGAGGCCTCCATCATGGATCTCCGGCTATGATCTGATCTGCCAATTACTTAAAAGATAAGAAAAAGGATTTTTTAGTCTGTGTTAAACAGAACTATTGATTTTTTTATATAGTTAAGGCAGACTTTAATGATATATAACCACCAAATAAAAATTATGGCTGATTTATTCCGTAGAGATGATAAAATCACAGCTCATTTTCACATCAGAGTGCACGTGTCCGTTAAACCCTGTTTCCATGTTTGAGCAACGGGAGACTGACTGAGGGAAGCGGCAACGCTAACTTCAGCATATCATCTTTGGCGGAGGGTGAAGTAGAGCGATAATTGCAGAAGTAAATATCAACAATGAAAACGGAGAAGCGTAAACGATCCGGCCACTTGGCGGGCCCCGGGCCACAGACACAGTGACTGACTGCTGGAGGAAGACAAGCGAGTGACCCCGTTAATTCTAGACAGGAGACAGGTTGGCGGAGGGGTTTTGGAAGCACCGGGCGATTGTCCACAACTTGGGCGAGATAAGACGCCGCAAGAACGAAGACAGAAATGGCGATCTGTTACTTTGGGTGGCTGCGGATCGCAGCCTGGACAAAACGTCCAGCTGGAAACAATGGACAACAATGTCTCCTCTCGGTTTTGATTGTGCACAGGGCCTCCGAAGAGTTTGACAAGTGAACAAAAGAATAGGAGCGCACAAACACGCAAACACAAAAGTCCCTCCCTGTCATTAGATCTGTGGTTCCCAGCAATGTTGGAAGGAGTGCCAATAAACCATTTCCAGCTTAAAAAGTTTTTAAAGTTTTTTTATGCATCTGCAGATATCACTAAATCTGAGCTTTGCTCTGCACATAACCAAAAACAACCTATTTTTCTGTGTTACTGTGAAACAGAAAACAATGAAAAACAACTAAGATGAGGTACATTTACTTTATTATATTAAATGTCATTTTAATTTAAAGTCAGATTCAAAAATTAGGTATTAAATTAGGGTCATGTAAAAGTAGTTTTGTGTGTGTTTCTTCACACGCGAGGAGGAGTTTTCTGGTCCAATCCTTTAAAGTTAACTGGCATCCTTTTAATTTTTCATAGCGCTCAGCTCCTTCTGGCCTGAAACCGAAGACAATAATGTGTCTCTCAGGTGAATTGATTTGTGCCAGAGCCTCCAGCTCCCTCACAACCCCTCCTTCCCTCCCTTTCCTCCTCTCCATATCTCCCCCTATCTCACCTTTGCGGAGGACAGCATTTTTTATTCTGCCTATTTTATTTAAACATGCAAAGAGGAAACTTTGGTCTAACCTTTATTTGGAAATGAAGTGTCGGTGATAAGTTCTGGGCTTTAAATTAATCCTTTAAGTGGTGATATTTGAGACTTCCACGAGACATAAATAGGACTTTTAAAGTAAAGTATCACCAAATGTGATCATTTATAGATTAAAAGCTTATCATTCCTTGAAACAATGCATAGCACCTGCCACCATTCATGCCAGAGCTTTAGATTGAGATCATCTTATGTTGAGAAGAGACCAAGTTAAAGCCTTTTAGTCAAACACCAGGTAATAATTTTGTGTTGGAGTACAGTGGGTAAAATAAATATTGAACACGTCAACATTTTTCTCAGTAAATATATTACTAGAGGTGCTAATGACATGAAATTTTCACCAGATGTTGGTAACAACCCAAGTGATCCATACATACAAAGAAATCAAACCATAAATGTCCAGAAATGAAGTTATTTGTAATAATGTGGAATGGCACAGGGAAAAGTATTGAACACACTTACTGAAATTTATCTAATACTTTGTACAAAAGCCTTTGTTGTCAATGACAGCTTCAAGACACCTCCTGTATGGAGAAACTAGTGGCATGCATTGCTCAGGTGTGATTTTGGCCCATTCTTCCACACAAACAGTCTTCAAATCTTGAAGGTTTCGTGGACCTCTTCTATGAACTCTGATCTTTAGTTCTTTCCATAGATTTTCTGTTGGATTCAGGTCAGGTGATTGGCTGGGCCATTCCAGCAGCTTTAGTTTCTTTCTCTGAAACCAACTGAGAGTTTCCTTGGCTTTGTGTTTGGGCTCATTGTCTTGCTGAAATGTCCAGCCACGTTTCATCTTCATCATCCTGGTAGATGGAAGCAGATTTTTATCAAGAATGTCTCTGTACATTTTTCCACTCATCCTTCCTTCAATTATTTGAAGTTTTCCAGTACCATATGCTTAAAAACAGCCCCACACCATGATGTTCCCACCTCCAAACTTCACTGTTGGTATGGTGTTTTTGGGCTGATGTGCAGTGCCATTTGACCTCCAAACATGATGTGTATTCTGGCATCCAAACAGTTCAATGTTGGTCTCATCTGACCAGACTATATTCTCCCAGTATTACACAGGCTCGTTTAAATGTTGTGCAGCAAACTTTAAAGGAGCTTCAACATGTTGTTTCTTCAGCAGTGGAGTCTTGTGTGGTGAGCGTGCATACAGGCCATGGTGGTTCAGTGCATTACTTATTGTTTTCTTTGAAACAATCGTACCTGCTAATTCCAGGTCTTTCTGAAGCTCTCCACAAGTGGTCCTTGGCTCTTGGACAACTCTTCTGATAATTCTTTTCACTCCTCTGTCAGAAATCTTGTGAGGAGCACCTGGTCGTGGTCGTTTTATGGTGAAATAATGTTCTTTCCACTTCTGAATTATGACCCCAACAGTGCTCACTGGAACCTTCAGAAGTTTAGACATTTTTCTGTAACCGATGCCATCATTATGCTTTGCAACAATAAGGTTGTGAAGGTCTTGAGAGAGCTCTTTACTTTTACCCATCATCAGATGGTTCTTGTGTGATACCTGGCCATCATTTGGGACTGAACCAGCTGATGTTAATTTGCACTGACAAGGGGCAGGCTTGCTTTCTAATTACTGAGAGAGTTCAGCTGGTGTCTTGGCTTTCCATGCCTTTTTACACCTCCCTTTCTTAGTGTGTTCAATACTTTTTCCCTGTGCCATTCAACATTGTTACAAATAACTTCATTTCTGGACATTTATGGTTTGATTTCTTTGWATGTATGGATCACTTGGGTTGTTACCGACATCTGGTGAAAATTTCACGTCATTAACCCCTCTAGTAATGTATTTACTGAGAAAAATGTTGACATGTTCAATACTTATTTTACCTGCTGTATGTGCTGCGAATGACTAAAATATTAGCTCAGCATCTGCAAAACAGCCCGTTATGGCCACTTTGGTGTTGAATAATGTCAGTTAGCTGGGGGCAAACATCCTAAATTGGGTGGACTTGAATATTTGACAAGTTGCAGGTTAGGGCTGGGTTAAACTTGTTTTTTGATTATATCGAACTTGGATCGATTTAATTTAAATTTCGCAATATTACCATATTTATTCGTGTATAATATGATCTCATGTATACGACCCCCCCCCCCTTTTTTAGCTTAAAAAGCATAAACAATTTAATCCTCAAACTACCTCCAATTTCAAACAGACGTCAAGATTTTTCAGCCTTTGTAGTCTTTATACATATCAGTAAAACGATCATTGGACTGTTCATTTTATTTTAACAACATATGTTCTAAATGGTATTTTGACAACAAATATATATCAGCTGTAGCAGCATCATATGAATTCTGGCATTTTACACATAGTCCACCAGGACGTGCCAACACAAAAATCAGAGACTTCACGAGATTTGGGCCATCTTCTGGGGCAAAAGCAGATTACTTCTTACTTGTGAGCGCCCCCTCTGGTGGGGAAACATTTTTTCAGGGATACAAACTTTTTCAGAACACCGGTAGACGGCCACCATTACAGACGAACATGTGTTTGTTGTTGTTCCAGGAGCGGCTCGGTCACACGCTAATGTCATTAGTTCGCTTTCATGATTGAGGTGCAGGAATAATTTTCCCCCCTTTTTTCACATCATGTCACCTGCCTGGATCTGTTATTATCTCGCTCTGAAGCACGAAGGTGTGTCACAGGTATGTTCGCTTCAAGTGCTTTTTTACGACACGGTCTCATTTCCAGACTCAGGCATTTTGAGAATGAAGCCGATATTTTACTTAAAATACATAAGTAAAAATATTTATCTGAGTA